CTTTACTGTAGGGATGGTATTAGCCTGGTGATGAGCGCTGCCTGCTTTTCTCCAAATGTAACGCCTGGCATTCACTCCAAAGAGTTTAATTTTAGTCTCATCAGACCAGAGAATTTTGATTCTTATGGTGTAAGAGTCCTTCAGATGCCTTTTGGCAATTTCCAGGCGGGGAGTGTCTTCCGTCGGGCCACTTTACCATACAGGCCTGATTCGTGGATTGCATCACAGATGGTTGTCCTTCTGTAAAGTTCTCCTATCTCCACAGAAGAACGCTTGAGCTCAGATAGATTGACCATCAGGTTATTGATCACCTCCCTGACTAGGGCCCTTTTCCCCAGATCACTCAACTTAGATGGCCGGGCAGCTCAAGGAAGAGTCCTGAAGGTTCCAAACATCTTCCACTTATGGAAGATGGAGGCCACTGTGCTCATTGGAACTTTTAGAGCAGCAGAAAATTTTCTTTAACCTTCCCCAGCCTTGTGCCTCGAGACAATCCTGTCTCTGAGGTCTACAGACAATTCCTTTGTCTTCATGCTTGGTTTGTGCTCTGACATGCACTGTCAACCCTGGGACCTTATATAGACAGGTGTATGCCTTTTCAAATCATGTCCAATCAACTGAATTTGCCACAGGTGAACTCCAATTAAGCTACTGAAACATCTCAAGAATGATCAGTGACAACAGAATGTACCTGAGCTCAATTTAGAGCTTCACGACAAAGGCTGTGAATACTTATACACACGTGATTTTTCAGGTTTTTTTATTTGTAATAAATTTGCAACAATTAAAAAAACTTTTTTTTACATTGTCATTATCTTTCCTATTTTTTCCCCCTATTTTTTGTGATAAAAATAAAAGAATAAAAAATATATCCTAAATTATATGTTGTAAATTGTACTGTATAATATACAGTTATTTTCACAATGACTGTTTAAAATACAATAACATATTGTATTACTGTCCTACAGGTAAATACAGCTTAAATTACAGTTGAATGCGGTGTAGTTTACAAAGATTGTTAACAGTGTACTCTTAACAAACTCGTGAGCAATGCATTATAAAAAGTATACCGTTCACAGCAGAGATCTTTAGATGCAGTATTTTGTTCCAGCTTGTGTTTGTGGGCGTTTTTTACTTCTCATCTTCTTTCCTGTTACACAACAGCCGCCTCTGCCTGGAACAGAGGGTGGGTGAACACTGCTGTCCATCCATCTTTATGGATGTTCGGCATAACTGACCCTCACAGACATGTCTCATCATAATCATTGCAATGCATAAACAACAGCGGCGGTTTACCTTCGCCATGCACACTCCACCGCTCCTCTACAGGAAATCCCTGTTATTATAATGGCTTGCTTTGGGCTCAAGCACTGTATCATTCAGAATGTTGAAGGCAGCTGACTGTACACCTTATTACTACAATCCATCTTCTGAAGGAAGCTGTTAGGTGCTCTCTAAAGTAAACACTATCGAAGATTACCTACAGTGTGATCTCATTCACAGGCTAAAAACACAAAGAGCCTTCTTGAGGACTTGCTTTCACTTTTTATTGAAGAGAAAAGGCCTGTTGAATATTGAATTAAATAATTAGAGTTGGAAAATTAATGTTTGACTTTTACTTTAAAATGAATTTGTTTTTTCAATCATTTTCTTTCAGCTTAGTCCCTTATTTATCAGAGATCGCTACTGCGGAATGAACCGCCAACTTCATTCATTCATTCATTTTCTTTTCGACTTAGTCCCTTATTTATCAGGAGTTGCCACAGCGGAATGAACTGCCAACTTTTCTATCATATGTTTTACGCAGCGGATCCCCTTCCTGCTGCAAACATCCTTACACACTCACATGCACACTCATACACTACAGCCAAATTAGTTTATTCAGTTCACCTATAGCGCAACATGTCTTTGGACTGTAAGGGAAAACAGCACCCGGAGGACATCCACACAACCACAAGGGAACATGCAAACTGACCCAGCCTAGGCTCGAACCAGCAACCTTCTTGCTGTGAAGCGACATTGCTTACCACTGAGCCACCATGTCATGGTTTCTATACCTTTCTATTGTGTTCATTAGTGGAAAGGGTTTCAAACTAATTTATTCTTAAATGGATTTGCCTAAAATGATCTAATAATTATAATAGTAACACACAAATATGTTTCAAATAAATCAGTAACACTTTTAGGTCACAATTCACAGTATTAACAAACATTTAACTGACACTGTTAGCTTAATAAACTATTAATAAGCTCTTTAAATAATAGTTAGTAGGTTTAGGGTTAGTAATGCAGAATAAGATCATACTTTATAACTACTTAACTAGCCTAATAAGCAGGTAATACGCTAGTAGCTAATAGCATGACTTGTGACCTACAATAAAGTGTTACCAATTAGAGCATCATGGTTGAGCAACGCAATCTCACGGTAATTCATAAATTTTTTATTTAGTGGCTAATTTGTATGATCTAATTTCACCCAATGACGTTCAGGGGTGGGGTTGGATGCCACACCTTCTTTTTAAAGTTGTTCAAAATCGTACGAATTAGCCACTGAACTGACTAAACGTACAATATGTACATTTCCTTGTGAAATCAGGCTGGATCACCTCAAGAAGATCGCTGGTTCGAACCCCGGCAGGTTCAGTTGCCATTTCTGTGTGGAGTTTGCATGTTCTCCCTGTGTTTGCATGGGTTTCCTCCAGGTGCTCCGGTTTCCCCTATAGGTGGATAATAAGCTAAATTGTCCTTAGAGTATGTGTGAATGCAAGAGCGTATGGGTGTTTTCCAGTGTTGAGTTGTGGCTGGAAGGGCATCCGCTGCATAAAACATATGCTGGATAAGTTGGCAGTTCATTCAACTGTGGCGACCCCTGATTAATAAAGGAACTTAGTCTAAAAGAAAATGAATGAATGAATGATCAAAATAAATAATGAAATAAATAATAAATAAAAACCACTGGAATTACATAAAACAAAACACTGTAGGCTAAAAATAAGCTATAAGCAGATAAACTACATTCGCAACACAGAACTATAACGGCATTATATTATATATTCTTTTTGATGATATATTATTAAATGATGACAAGAATCTAAAAGAGATCCACAACTTTAAGGCTATTTAATAGGCCACTATATTATTACTGAGACAATTAAGCAAATGTACCATGTGGCACAATTTCCACAAAATACGGCTGCTGACTGGAATATTTAAAATGAAAATGTTTGCTGATTTAGAAGCTGTTACTATATAGATAAAAAGGATCGATAATTTCGTGTTATTGAATGATTCTATTCTGCCAAGAGCAAAAACAGAGTAAAGATAAGCTACTGTTGCCTCTCTGCCGCAACCAGTTTATTATCCTTAATCGCTAACCTTAACTATGACTCTTCTAGTTTGTTATCAGATGGTGTAGTGTGTGTTGGTGTCATTAGAAGAGAAGTGCTCACGATTATAGATGGTTGTCTATAAGCCTCGATCAGTCGGATGGGGGCGGGTTGCTTATTTGCACATCACATGAAGGAGATTTAGCTCGATTTTTGTCTTAATCACATGTACATGTAGTTGTGAACGACTACGGTTTCCTTCACAATTATACGACCCAAATGCGGCACAAAACCGCATACAGACTCAATCCTTCAAGACGTATTTCGTCAGTGAGAAGAACGAGTGTGAGAAATCTGCCTGCGTTGTAAGAATGATTCACTTTAGTGAACCGTGTCGCTCTGATGGTACGTTCAAATGAATCGAGTTGGACAATTGATTCACCTGTTCTTGTATTCACTCAAAATAATCTTCTGGTAATGGTATTGTTTCTCAACTATAAGTTAGGGATTCTCATAAAGGTTTAATAGCTTACAAATTAAGCTAATAAGTATTGTGACAAACAATTTTCACACACCAATTTTTGCAAAAGGATTTAATTTATTAATTTTCATTTGGCGTAATTCATTTATTTATTAGGGGTCGCCACTGCGGAATGAACCGCCAATGCATACAGCATGTGTTTTACGCAGCAAATGTCCTTCTAGCTGCAACCCAACACTGGGAAACACCCATACACTCTCGCATTTACACAAATACACTGTCCAATTTAGCTCATTCAATTCACCTAGAGTGCATGTTTTTAGACTGTGGGGGAAACCGGAGCTCCAGAGGAAACCCACATTAACATGGGGGAAACATGCAAACTCCACACAGAAACGTCAACCGACCCAGCCAGGACTTGAACCAGAGACCTTCTTGCTGTAAGGTGATAGTGATAACCACTGAGCCACTGTGCCTCCCTTAGGATTTCATCAAAATAATATTTAATCACCATTTAACTCACCTCAAAGTTGTTCTATCCAAACTTGTATGGCTTTTTTTTTTTTTGTTGAATACAGAAGAATGTTGGAAATTGGTATTGACATTGAATTATGGAAGTGCAAATAGGTTTACAACTCCTTCAGAATATTTTCTTGTGTTCAACAGAACAACAAACAAACAAACATCAAGCGAATAAATGTTGAGTAAGGATGACATATTTTTTGAGTTAAGGATTTTTTATCACGTTATGTATATTTTAAGCTCCAAAATGTACCTTATTTTTATTGGAAATATAGCCACTTTAAACTTTTTTTAAACCCAAAAATTGAATAATAGTCAATAATTAAATTCAGAGTAAATAGAAAGACATATTCTCAATACTGTTACATTTATATGAACATTTGTTACTAAAGTATTCTTAAAATGGTTACATGAAAATATTTCTATGAGGTTCTCATTTAAATTGATTTAATTTAATGAATCAAGGACCACAGTTTCAGTTAAAAAGATTCTAAAAAAGTCCCCCACATATTATAGGTCAAATTACCAGCAAAATAATTTTGGGGGGTTAATTTCTCATATGACCGGCTTCAGAGACCCCAGCTGCACCAGACTGAAAAAGAATCGGTTCAATAGAATGATTCATTCAGGAATCAAACACGAGCGAGAGAGACAGCGCCGCCCTCGCAGTATCAGAGGTAGTGTAGGCGTGTTCAGAGGATCCTGCAAACATTAACCAGGTGGTTTTTTTTCTCCCACATTTCCCTCTCATTTTCCTCCTCACAGCAGCGCTGGAGTGACTTTGTTGTGTGTCACGAGGAATCAAAGTAACTTTACTGGAACGATGCGGGAGCCGAGCACCAGCATCTCTTCGGATCTAGACCCCTGAAACCCGCACAAACTCCACTCATGGCCCCCGCCTGGCCACCGGCCACACTTAGTACTTTATAACACAGAGATCTGCGGAGATCACGGGACGGAAGCTTCTTAAAACGAGCAGCTGTTTGATCCAGATGGCGGGACACGAATGTGATGGCTGGTTTGAACGGGAGGAATTGATCGGGCAGATCAGCGACATCCGAGTGCAGAATCTGCAAGGTAAGAGTGCTCGCTGGAGGCATGGGATGGGTGAAGGGGGATAAATATTTCATGATCACCAACATTTGTGTAGGAAGTAACTGGAGTCGTTCTAATGCCTCCATTCATCATTCGTTGTTGAAAAAAAGGAAACATCCACGTTTAATACTGTACCGGCGAAGATATAACAGTGTTGCGCTTTAGTGTTTCATTATGGCAAGCCGTTTTAAAAACTACTGTAACCATTTAAATGTTGATGAACCCATCCACAAAAATATTAACGTTATAGTAAATACTATAATGCTTTTAAACAAAAGTATATTAAATTGTAACTTAGTATAGTATTAATTAGTGAACTCTACAGAATACTTTAGTATCAACTGTGAACTGATAAAATGTAGCAAATACTACAGCAAACTGTGGTGAATTGTTGTATAATCCACGTTTTATCAATGTTGAAAACTACAATACTGGGTAATTTGTTTATATTTGTATAGTTGTGTTGCCATAACAACTGTAGGATTACCACAACAGATAGTATACTATAGTATGGTTAAAAAAACTGTAGTATTTACTATAGTAATCTTTCATATGGGCTGTTTTGTAGCTATTACTTGGTAATTAATTGAATAATTTACTGTTATTGTTTTCAGGCTGTCTATCCGCTTGTCGTTACATATGGAATACTGTTTCCAGGTCCAAGCCGCTACTCTTGAATTGAGAAAATATTTGTTAATGACCACTTTTTAGTCATATTACACATTAAATTTTATATAAAATCATGGTGTACACAACAGTCTCTGCATCACAGGTACTAATATTTTAACAATTTATATATTTAAAAAAATAGGCATGGATATATATACACAGTATATTGAATTTGGGTTGTTCAAAAGTATTACATCGCTTCGTAAACATTATTACTATTTGTTGAGTCTTCTCATGCATTTTAACAGAGCGATTGGACCCGGAAGCCACTTTGCATGACGTCACAATTAACAAGCGGATGAACTATTCTGCAAATGTGGTCTTTTGTTGTTGTAAAATTAAAGTCAACAGGTATCTGGACTTTGCACCTGAAAACGTACTAGCCTGGTTTCATAATTTCTATCTTGAACCAATTCAAAGTTCGCAAAAAAATCCCAAATGCAAATTTGTTGGGTTTCTGTCAAATGGTTGGAGTGCCACTGACTGTAGTATTGGTAACCTAGTGACCAACAGTGAACAAGCAAGCATAATGAACACAGATTAGGGCTGTGGGTGTAGATGTTCAGTCAGAGTTTGTTTAGAAAAGGAATTTCCGTCTCACGTGATTTGCCTTTACCCTTTTCCACAGGTCCAAAAACCAACTTAAACATCTTTAAAAAAAACATTTTGTGAGTTCACAAATTTTTATTTGAAATTTGCCATTTCAATCTCATCTTATCTCATGCAATACTTTAAAATTCACATTAGCACAGGGTAATGGAAACCCAGCTATTGAAGACTTGTCTGAACAAAAACTGCTTATTATTGACTAGAATTTAAGTAATATAATGCTATAATTATGAACAAAATAGTATTTAAATGCAAAAAAAAAAACAATAGTTCAATTATCTTTGAACTTAAAATAAGTGAAAAAGTTAAGACATCAGTAATAATTTTACACCTTAAAATAAACGGCAAAACAATGAATAAGTAAATATAAGAATAAATAAAAATAGTATAATGTAAATCTAAGCATCTTTTTAGTGAAGTATTTTCTTTTTAAAGAGAACAAATGTAGTTAAGGCTGCTGAACCTCTCTCTGAAAGGCACTTTTGATCAACTATATTATGAACTTGTTTGGTATTTTCATTTATTATTTTTTACTCCTTGGAGTAGAAATGTGTATATTCCATGCAATGGTATGAAGCTAAACAGTCAGTTCTTGTCATGTGACTCGCGGTGTGCTCGCAACATTAGTTAGTTATAATTTTAGGAATGTTAATGTTTAAACTGCTTGCCATAGTCCTGTGTTCAATTCAATTCTGATTAAGTTGATGCACATTGACAGCTGATGGTTAACCTTTCACATTTGAGATACCTGAACAGCCAATTCTTTCTGATTTAATGTTTGTTCTGGTTTTATTTATAGATATGATGTCGGTATCAATGGGTAACTGAATGCATTTCAGCCATTTAATATTTAAAGAAGACTTTCTCAAGAAGTGAAGCAACAGTTATCTAAATATAGTCTTCTCAGTGACTCTTCCTCTTGCAAAGCTGCAGCAGCTTTTCTCTCTTGTTTGACGCATAAACAAGAATAAATCGTTGCCCTGGAAAGAATTGATTTAATGAGCAGGAGTTTTACACATCACTGATTGTGCTTTGTCATCAATTATTTTAATGTGCACCATTAATCGCTTCTCGGTGTTGGACCGGTGGCATTTGAGCACTGTGTTTTGCAGGTTGCACGACTGTGAATGACTAAAGACATGATAAGCAGGCAGACCATGAACATAAAGTAGCTCTCTGAAAAACTTTCAGGTGATTTTCAGAGGGTTGCTCCTGTGCCCTGTTTCTGTTCATTGCAACAGGGATTTAGCATGGCTTGTATTTGGCTTAATGGCAGACAAAATATAAATGAAACACTGCCGAAAACAGATGCTGGGAGCAGATTACATAACGTCTTGTCTTTATTGAAAGAGCAATGCCCTCTGTATGGGACTGCTGGAATTCCCCATAGTGCCATATTCTGCAGGCCTTTGAGAGCTTTCAGATAATTGGGAGGCAGACTTACTATTGCATGTCTGCTGCAGGTTTGTTTTGAATAGGAGGAAAAATACAGGTTTTTATCCACACATGATCCGTTCAGGTGTCTAAAAAACGAGAACTACATGAAATATCAGTGGCCAACAAAGGATTATTTTTCAGTCTCTGCCCTGTAAAATGCAAGTGAAAGTAAGTTTCTGTGAAAACGATGTGGAGCGTGATGAAACAAGGTGGAAAGATGTAGATAACATCTAAACACAAGAGAGATTCACAAGAGATTCATCTTAAGTCATACCATGCAGAAATGGTAATGATGACTCTAAGCAGAACACTGTGATTGGATTACTGTAAATGCATTCTAATGGCAGGTAAAAACTGGGCCTAATTGTTAATCAGACACCCCCATGTATGTTTTCATGTCTAATATGGTAATACTTAGCATTTTTTTGTGCATTATAAAATGGAAAACGTCAAGTTTAGCAGTTATTGAAAATAATATTTGGTCAGACAGCATATTTGCATAAAATACTTTCTTTTCTACATTTCATTCATTAATTTTCCTTTGGCTTAGTCTAAATTTCAGAGGTTGACACAGTGGAATAAACCGCCAACTATTCCAAGATATGTTTTCATGTAACGGATGCCCTTCCAGCCACAACCCAGTACTGGGAAACGCCCCATACACACTCATTCACACACTCATACACTACAGTTTATTCAATTCACTTAAGGTGCACTCACACTATGCTATTCGAACTGTGCCAGGTGCATTTCCCGGTTCATTTAACAAGTGTGAGTGCTACATATCGGGCCCAGGTGCGGTTCTGTTGGCCGGCCCTGGCCGGATTGAAAGAGATGTGCCAAAGTACGGTTCACTTGGGCTTTGGCACGGCTTGTAGTGTGAGTGCAAAGCGTGGTTGAGCTCAAAACCAAAGACGATACGTCATTTTTTAGGCACAGTGTTATATGGATTTATTAATCATTCTTACTTTTCAATGAATGCAACTGTCATCGTTTAGTAAAGTTGCAGACCCCTCTCTGCATGTCAGCTACACCTTCAGCAAACCACCTAATACATGCAGCACAAGTCAAAATTTGTAATTCTGTTGGGCAAAAATACTTCCCAAACTACTAAAAATAATACAAAACAGTATAAAAGCAATGTCCACTGCACTGAGTGAGAGCGCTTCTCTTCTGTTAAACTGAACAGTCACATCAACAATGAAATAATCGTGCTCCGGTTTGGAAGGCAAAATGCAGTGTGAGTGCTAACACTGAGGCACCATGCCGCCCTTTTTACATTTCAGTTTAGTTTTATTTATATAGCACATTTAAAGCAACCATCATTGACCAAAGTGCTTCACAATGTCAGAATGAGTAAAAATAAATAACAAAATAACTAACAAATGCTGTATTCTATACAAACAAACTCAACTTGAAGGAAACGCCTAAGTATACAGGTGTGTCTTAAGCATTGATTTAAAAAGACCAACAGTTTGAGCACTTCTTATATGAGTGGAGAGACATTTGGAGCAGCCACAGAAAAGGCTCGGTCACCTTTATTAATAATTGTCATTTAACAATTAAAAATTCTAGATTTTTTCTTCTCAGATAAATTAACCAATTGAGCAGTTGCTTTGGATTAAAATAAAAAAATAGTTGTTGAATATTAATTATTAACCAAACATTCCATCTGCATTACGTCTTCATTCCTCTTAGACATAATGCTTGAATGTTTGAGACATTTTATATGTTTCTCCATCATATCAGTCAGAATAAAGCAGGAAAACCAAAGCATAGAAAGCATCTGTCTTTGTATTCAGGGTAAAAACGTGGTGTTTTTTTATCATAAAGTAAAAGTTACGAATCTTCTAAAACAGTGATAAAACAAAACCACTTGCCATGAAGTAGAGCACCGCAGATGACGGCAGTATTTAGTACTTATAAGTCTGGGACATCTGCTGAAGCGTTCTGAAGTGCTGAAACAGAGCCAGTGTGCACTAGTGTAGAAAAAGTGCAATAAAGCAGAGATCAGTGTGACTATACTGGACCAAGATGGCTTTAGAGTTGTCAAGCAAGACAGATTTTCATATGAAGTGTTGAATGAGAAATTGCTGGAGTGCTCCCTCCCTCCCTGATGCACATGCATACTTTTTAGGCAGTTTTTTTCTTTTAGAAAGCGCTGGTCTGTGTTAGAAAGCTTTTCAAGAATACTTGACCGTAGGGTAGAAGACTGAGCTTGCAGAACGTCTGGAAATCAGGACAGTATCTTTCTGTCTTTTCCGTTC